TCAACATACAACTAGCAAAAACTAAGATCTTACCAACTTGCATTCTACTAATCCAGTGACCCCAAAGACCTAACCAATTTGCTTTAATTATGATTCTTTAGCTTGTAAATGACATGGATCCAAAGACCATGCCTTGTCAGGTTCTGATCAGAGTCCTGGCCAAGAAACCAGGCTTGAAGGACAGTAATTTCCAGGTACATAACATGTTGATGTCTCAAGCTTGAACTTTTTCTTTCTTTATTGTAAAAAATTGTCCTTTAACGATTTTACAATGACAGAGTGCATTATCGTAATCTGATTGGCTGACAGCTATGATCAATAAGAGGACAGACACATAGAATGACAAATCGCTTGCACACGGATCCAGCGTGTGCTTGAAACCGTTTTTTTTCCTTCAAACTTTTCTTTGTTTTCAAAAGTTTTTATTTCTATTTTGTTGTAAAAAACAAATTACGATTTCTGACAAAAAGAATAGTAAAATGTTTTCTTAAAATTCCAATGAGCTAAAGACCATATTATGCTCAATGTCAACTTGACAAGCACCACTACATTGCTAGGGCTTCCAGGTTACATAACATGTTGATATCTCAAGCTTGAACTTTTTCTTTCTTTATTGTAAAAATTGTCCTTTAACGATTTTACAATGACAGAGTGTATTATCATAATCTGATTGGCTGACAGCTATGATCAATAAGAGGACAGACACAGAATGACAAATCGCTTGCACACGGATCCAGCGTGTGCTTAAAACCGTTTTATTTTTCTTCAAACTTTTCTTTGTTTTCAAAAGTTTTTATTTCTATTTTATTGTAAAAAACAAATTACGATTTCTGACAAAAAGAATAGTAAAATGTTTTCTTAAAATTCCAATGAGTTCAAGGCCATATGCTTTTTCACGATCAATCAATGTCAACTTGACAAGCACCACTACATTGCTACAGCTTCCAAGTGTCAATTCTGCGGCAAAACAGCTAAACATCCTTTGATTGGCTGAAACAAAATCTACTGCTCAGCTGGATCGTTATGGTTAATCAAAGTGTAAAATACCATTTGACTGTAGGTTTTGAAGGCCAAGCTAGCTCTGTGTGGTACCATCGCTGAGATTGGCAAGCCCTTCTCCTCCCGCAGTGCAGGATACGCATTAACAGGACTGGTCGAAAAGATTGGAGACATTAAGGTAATTTTTTACAATAACTTTCTCGCATGCTGATTGGATATTTTTTTCATCATCAATAATGATATCATCATCATATATATTTCCAATATAATAGCCAGGGTTCGTGCTACTCCTTAAACTCCTTGAAAACTCCTTGAATTTAATTCATGTTTTCACAGGCACTTGTAAGACTCTTGAATTTTCGATTTTAGCAAAACTCCTTGAATTTTTGCTTTGATTGTTACTTGCAAGGTTCTGAAATAGATCTAGTCAGAAAGATTGGAAAATCTGAAAGTCGGCCATGTGCAACCACCGTGTAAAACCTTGGCATAGTTAGCTGAACATACTCCTTGAAAATTTTTGGGCCCTTGAATACTCCTTGAATAGTCCTTGAATTTTAAGTGGTTACATCAGCACGAACCCTGAATAAACTATAAATAGGGAAAAGTTGCCTGAGAGTTACATGTAGATCACATGAGTGCAACTCACCCTGAGTCATGGTTTGGTAACCCGTAATACCTGGTCCATTTACTACTTACGTGTAGTGTCAAACCAATCAAATAAATGGAACTTATTAAGCAGTAGGTACATGTAGAAGACTTTTATACAGTTATGTATTTCATTATGTTTGCAGCTTAAAGATCAATGCAAGGAAACACTTACGAAATTTGCTGAAAAATTGAATCTTAATTACGTTAGCCTGAAGGTGAGCAGTTTCTTCATACTGTCTTTTTCTTTCATATTTAACATTAAATCTTGTACTGTTTATGCTTCATCTTGGACCACTCTCAGAAAGAGGCAATCACAAGCAAGCTACATGTAGGTCGTATTCAACAGACATGTTTTACTTGATGATTGGCCCAAACTCTATAGTAACCTGTTAGCTTTCATATTTGACATTAAATGTCATATATGGTTTATCTTAGACCACTCTTAGAAAGAGCCAATCACAAGCAAGCTAGTTTGTATCTGACAGACATTATGTTTTCCCTCAAGATAGACCCAAATTCTATTTGTTGCTATTTGCCTGGTTAGAAGTTGGTCTTTCGCTGTCGCCAATCAAAAACATGAAGGATAGAGTGCAAACAATATATCCATGAAACACTAATTACTAAATTGTTCAAAATAGTGCTTGTTAAACAAAAGAAAACAATAGAATTAGCATAAAATAGTGTAAGTTTAGTATTACTAATATTTCACGGATATATTGTTTGCTCTATACTGACTGATTRTTTTTGATTGGCGGCAGCAATAAATTTAATTTTATGAGAATGGCAGTAAGATCCCTTTTATAATAACCTGTGTCGTATTTTCATTGACTCCAACGAAGGACTAACGACTGAAACATCAGTCTATTCTCTTCGTACCTACGGTGATAAAATTATCTACTACGACACATGTGTTGTATTTTAGGTTTGCAAGATAGCAGGAGGTCAAAAGAACCCCAAAGTGATAGCAGAGTCGTTAAACTGGATTGGTGATGCTATTAAGGACTTTGGATTCAAGTAAGCAAATAGTTATACTTATGTCTAAATTATACACCTAATTGAAATAATGTAGTCTGGTTCGAGAAGGTTATATCATCAAAGCTAAGACCGAAAAGGATTTTGGGTACTCCGAAATGTGTATTATATTTGCATATAGACATGTAAAAATGCACAGTAGAGCAAAGTCGGTYGACCTAGATCAACAACATGCCAAAGCCATGATGCATAAAATGTGCACAGGAAGGGAAAACTGCAATACGCATGAAATTAGCATAATTGTTTGTCTTCCCATGCTCCCCTTCGGTCTTAGCTTTGATGATATAACCTTTTTTGAACCAGACAACGTTTTTTCAATTAGCTGTATGCCATTCTCCATGTTTGGGTTTTTTGTGCACTTCCATTTAAATTTGCTATGCTCACCATTGTCATGCAGGTGTCCAGTGAAACCAGAGTTGACTCTTGCACTTCTTTTAATGAAATTTTTGTTCCCTTCCAAAGTAATCTTGTCTTCTGATTGGTCGGGAGCGGGTGATTTATGAGAGCAAATAGCACACATGCACGCTTTCAGTTGCGTCATTCGTATCCAAAAAAGTCTCAAGAAGCACAGTCTCCACTATGTGTTGTGCTTCTCCTAAGACTTCTCTTGTGTTCTGCCAACCCCCTGCATGCTTTATAACTACATGCACAGCAGTTGCACGCATTTTCTATTTCTTCAAATGCCAGCCCCCAATAAATCAGAATGTGAGATCKATTTATGCTGAATGAATAATGGAACAAGCTGTTCTAGTTCTAAATATGTTCATGGATGTAAAAGGCACCTATCATTTTGTTAATATTATCAATGATTGTGAAATACTGGACTCCCCTCTGATTCCATGTAGGATAGACTTGAAGCCTCATATTCAGTTCATCAAAGACTCTCTTGCTAACACCAACCCAGTAAGTCAAGCTACTATTTATTCTCTATTAATAACAATTAGTATATGTAACAGGACTCCATGCTGTCCAATTAAGAAATAATTGGACGAGGAAAATTCCGAGGACTGACAAAATTGGATGAGGCCGTAGGCCAAGTCCAATTTGGCAGTCAGAGGAATTTTTCGAGTCTAATTATTTCTTGATTGGGGAGCATGAAATCCCATTACCTATTAATTATATAGCTGCCTAATTAATCCCATATCAACAAGACCTGTCCAATAAAGAAAATAATTGGACAGTTACCTATGTTATGGGATTGATGAGAAGCTGTATAATTATAATGGTTTATTAAAAATATATATCAGGCCAAACRAAAAATAAGTGTGTTTCCTGTTGCATGAGAAAAATAATTGGGGTCGGCAGGTCGGTAGGTTGTTACTGATACAACAGTGGAAATGATCTTACTGGAAACCCTGTGGTGCATTTGGAAATGAAAAAATATTAGGGTCGGCAAAAATCAGCAAGAAAAGAAAAATAGGGTCAGTCGCACAACAGGAAACACACTTGTTTTTTTGTTTGGTCTCATGACAATTTTACAATGCCTAGTTCCAGAAATTATCCATACCCCCACCATGGGGGAATTGTTTTTAAAGACAAACTCCCTCCTTAAATTTCTGTTTCTTTTTTATTTCTTTTTGTTGTGTTTAATCAGTAAGTGGTGTTACTTGCAGTACGTTATGTTTGTGTTCTATCTGTTCCAGGCTGTCAGGACATCAGCTATAGCCCTACTTGGAGTACTTCACATGTATGTTGGCACAAGCATCAGAATGTTCTTTGAAGATGAGAAACCTGCTTTGCTACAACAGATTGATGCCGAACTTGAACAGGTAGCCTGTCCTTTTTCTCATTCCATCTCTACCATGACTTTTCATATTGCTGAGCTTCACTTGATGTGGACCATATAAATCAAGATTGTTTACAGGTTTTTTTCTGACCTGCAAAGAGCTTGGTTTCAGGGTTCAATAAAATTAGAAAATTCTTTTTAAAATTTGAAGGTTGGCTGATGGCAGTGTTAATAGTGTGAGATTATTGTTGTTTTTCAGGTCAAAGACCAGAAGCCGCCAGCACCAACCAGAGGACTGAAATCAGCAGTTGGTGAGACAGAAGGAGGCGGCAATGACGAAGAGGATGATGAGGATGGTGGGAGTGGAGGGGGAGGGGCAGCTGCCAATCTTGCTGATCTTGTGCCGAGAAATGATATCAGGTGATTTAATAAACACCTCTTTTCACCTTCTCTTGAGAATAAGATTCTTTGTTTGAGTTGTATTCATATTCATGTGTCTTCTCATGTGCAACCATTAAACAAAGAAATGATACTCTAGGGAATGACACGTGGTCTTGAGAATAAGATTCTTTGTTTGAGTTGTATCCACATTCATATGTCTTCTCATGTGCAACCATTAAACAAAGAAATGATACTCTAGGGAATGACACGTGGTCTTGAGAATAAGATTCTTTGTTTGAGTTGTATCCATATTCATGTGTCTTCTCATGTGCAACTGTTAAACAAAAAAATGATATTCTAGGGAATGACACGTGGTCTGAAATGAGACACCTCAACTTTTGTATGAATTTTGCTTTATCTATCCTTTCTGTTCTCCTGTCTTTTGTTTTTCTCCTATTAATAATAATAATAATAATAAATTTATCCAGGAGACCTACTCGCAAAAGCGATTTTCAGTAGGGTCCTGCAACAGAAATAATTGTTAAAAATATATACAAAAATAAAATAAGACATAAATTAAAATTACAGATAAAATACTAAAAATGTTATATATAAAATTGTCATATAATAAAAAGAGAGAATTTCTTTCCTTTCCCTCTTGCACATGTTCCCTATTTATTCATTATTGGGGACTCATTTTCATTGGTTTCTATTTATAGCGGTGAAATCACATCAGATCTTATCACAATGTTGAGTGACAAGAATTGGAAAGTTAGAGGAGAAGGTCTTGAAAAGGTAATGCAAGTTTAACTATAATAGAGTATCCACGAGTACAGTAACTGGGACAAGGATCAGTGATCAGTAATAAACAATTACTGGACAGGGTTAAGCAAGATATAGTATTTTGTGAGTGGAGATGAGGAATTATTTGTGGATGCCAAAAGCAGACACTAACAAAGCACAATATTTTGTAATAACAGAGTTTGATATTTGTTTTATCATTCAAATTATTTTTCTGGTTTCTTTTTGTGCTATGGTTGTTTTTGCTTCCTATCAAACAAACCATTACCGCCATTTATATTACTATGCAGCCACCCCAGACAAAAATCGCGACGTGCACTTTGCAATAGACTGCCGTCAATGGAACACGTTAACATCATTTACACCCATGTGTGATTCAAAAGGTGCCAAAACTTGTCAAATGTTTACGAGTATTATGAGCCACACTCACCGGGCCTATCTGGGAAGATCCAAATTCGTGTGAATGACGTCAATTTGTTTGATGGACGGCAGTCTATTGCAAAGTGCACGTCGCATTTTTTGCCTGGGGTGGCCGAGTAGCAATGCAAATGGCAGTAAAAGTGACAGAGAAGCAAGCCATGTTCACAAATGCAATGCTACTGTGCATGAGCAGACTATTATTTGCAGTAAAACGGCTTTGCATAGTAATGCACATGAGCAGAATATTATATACAGCCAGTTTTTTGGAGTTTTCTATGTCAATTATAGCACAACATGCAAAAGAATGACCATGTTTATATGCTTCTATGCACTGGCTTTTTGCTGCCAAACAAGTCGTGTTGATGCACCTTATTTGGAAGACAAGCCAGATTCGCATCAAAATGTGTTGGTTTAACATATGAAAGCCTGTGCATAGAAGTAAGTGCATACATTGAAATCAAGAGAATATGAACTAAGAGAAGGAATTCTACCTATATAGCCTTGTAACTATCATGTGCACAGTTTGATGCTATTTTTAGCTTAGAGATATTTTGAGCGAAGAACCTGATTGGTTGATTTCTTGAGGGTAGGCGGCTTCCAGTCTTGCATTAAACAAAAGCCTGTGTTTTTGTCATGGAAGTAGCAAAATATGGCGCTTTTCGTGTCCTAAGACGAGGCATTAAAGGGAAGCATGATTATCGCACGAGCATGGTAACGAGTTAAAAATAGCATCAATGATTCTAAAAATAGCATCAAAGTGTACACATGATCAGACACGGGGATTCCTTCTCTTAGTTCATTTTCTCTTGTTGAAATTTAATGTTGTTATAATTTTTAGCGGGTTGTGGCGTAAAACAAAGGAAAAAGGAAAAAATTATTTGAGTTTGAATTGTTGTTGTTGTTGTATTTTTATTGTTGTTGTTGGTGGTGGTGGTTGTTGTGGTTGTGAGAATCTGATGATCTATGCTTCTCTTACTCCATGTAATGCTATTTGTCCAAATCCAGGTCCAGAACATTATCAATACAGCAAAGTATATCACTCCTGAGCTTGGGGAACTCCCTACAGCACTAAAGGGAAGACTTGGAGACTCAAACAAGAACCTGGTAAGATTATCATCTTGGAAGAAGATTAAGATGATATTACACAGAGCAATTTTCTCTGCAACTGGTCTCGCAACAGCGTTGCATGAGGTTACATGCTGCAATGCTCCATGCAGCTTATGTAATCCGTGTGGTCCGTTTAATCTGACCTTAAGGCACTGTACACAAGGTACTGGTGTAGCTTAAGGTAATGTGTTGGTTAAGTATTGTGTTTGCCAACAATCAATCAACAGTTTTACAATAACTTACAAATTTCTCACTCGCTGATTGGTTATTTTTTATCATCAATAAGAGGACAGACAGATAAAGCTGACGTCAACGAGCGCGCGCTCTTTCCGTTGGTTGTTTTGATCGCTAAAAATGAGAAGTTTTTATCGTTTTTGTTATTGTAAAAAACCAATTGACATCAGATTTTTATGTGTCTGTCCTCTTATTGACGATAAATTTGGCTACGCCTCGTGGATCCACACTACTTTGACAATGTGATGACGCAATTTATTGTCAATAAGAGGACAGACACATAAAAATCTGATGTCAATTGGTTATCAACCAACATGTATCAGCTAGCCATAAAGTACAGTCATGTTGATTACTAACAGTGACATTGTACTTAGTGGTACATTAGTATAGTATTACAATAAAATTGAAATAGTTTTAAATTTTATTCAAATTTTCTAGTACGTTACTAGTATTTAAATTAATTGAGTTTGATTGGATTGTAAAGTGCTGCTGGACATTTATGGAAGAGGTGCTATGAAATAGATATTTTCATCATTATTATTATTATTATCACGTCATATATATCTTTATTATATAATTACCAATGAAATATCTATTTTTCTCTATTTCGAAAAATTGATATCTTCACACGTGAAAATAACATGTTATTTTCATGTGTGAAAATAACACCATCGCGATGGCTATTCAAAAATATGCGGAAAGAATTGCATGAAAAAGCCAAAACATACTTCATTGATAATTATATAATGAACAGAATATTACATGGGCGCTTGGAGATACGAAATTTATCTTCTTGTGTTGAAAATCTCTCAATCGTTTGCTGCGCTCACTTGTGAGAGATCTTTACAACACTCAAAGATAAATTTCGTATCTCCACGCGCCCATGTAATATCCTCTATATATAGATACAAAATACATTTTTCTTTCTTAGTGAGAACTGTAATTAATATATTTTGGTAGAACCTTATAAATTAATGCAGAATAATTTTTTAAATTATTTTTATTTATAATAAAAAAATACTATTATTATTATTATTATCATTCTCATTATATTTTGTGTACTTTTAGATCATAACTACATTGAATATCTGTGGCTCAATGGCTACAGCTATGGGTCCAGGATCTAAGAAACACCTGAGTACTATCGGCCCTGCAATATTCAGTACCCTGGCTGATGCTAAGGTATGTACGACAGTTGCACTCAACTAGAAAATCAAAACAGTACATAATTGCACCACAGGGAGCCCATCAAATGATATTTATCAAACTTTGGGTGCTCAACATTTGTGTGTTTCAGGACAAAACATGAGCGTTTATCCTATCGTTTATATCGTTTGTATTCTTCATTTGCGCATGATGTCATAGCCACCATCTTGGATGTAACAAAAGAATTATCAATGAATCCTTTTGTTATATCAATCATGTGGACGCCTGATTAGCATTTTCTTACGATGATATACTCTTACTTTTAAAATGTTGCAATATAGTTTTTCGACCAATCAGAATGCATGTTAGAAGTACACAGTTATAAGTATTAAGTACTGTTTAACAAACGAGCAGGAGTGTTTTATTGGGTATAAAACACGAGGCGTAGCCGAGTGGTTTTAGACCCGATAAAACACGATCTGCGAGTTTATTAAACGGCTTARAAAACTCMTGATGTWTGTTCTCATACTGTACCGAATTCTTTACGAAATGAACCAAGTTTGATAGAGAAAATCCAAGTTAAAGTTTATGCAAATGAAGACGAATCTATATCAGATATAAAACCTCCTTCATGGTCATGATTTCTATTGTGTTTCCTTCATGAATTATTAATGAGTTTTTAAAATCTTATTTATACTAATATTTCTCTCATATATATAGCCCCATCTTCGTGCGGCAGGGATAACAGCCCTTAATGCATGGCACAAAGAAGTAGGAATTGTACTCTTCTTGGAAGGAGAGATTATATCTGGTGCTCTTAGTACAGAGAATCCCGTCCTGAGAACTGAGGTAAATAGAACTTACTACAGTTTTCTATATTCTGCGAACTTAGTAGTTACAAGCTGCATGCTGAAATTTGGTTTTTCATGCTGCTGACAATCAAATATAATCAGTCGGCACCTTTTATATTCTTGACTGGCAGCAGTAAAAACCAACTCACAACCAATAGTCCCCTTCACAGTTCCCTGCGCCATCTCTAAAGGTAGCCGTGCCTTTGCATAGAAGAGAGACGAATGGTGAGCTTGCAATGATAGAGACATGTGAATATTGTTCAAGGTGTTAAAAAAGGTCCCTAACTTTGCATGCCCCCCGTCGTCTCGCTTCTATGCAAAGGCACGACTACCTTTCAAGATGGCACAGGGAACCGTGAAGGGGAATGTTGTTGAAAATTCTAAGTTCACAGAATATTGAAAAACCTCAGCATTTCAAAGTCATAAAAACAGTTACAGAATATGTAATGAGAACTTGGAATGTTTACAACTTTTATGAAAAAAAAGCAAATTGAAATTTCATTTGATTTTACGTCTTATTGCTGTTATTTTTTTTCTTTTTCTTTCTTTTTTTTTTTTTTTTTTTTTTTTTTTTTTTTTGACACTTTATGATCTAGACAAATAACAACAGTTCATTCAGCAGTAGACTAATGTCAATAAAAGAAATTGTTGGACTACATTTCCAATTTACCCTTAAGTACTGCACCTTTTTTAAAGGACAGCAGTACATCAGTTTCACCTGTACCACAGGGTCCGGTTGTACGAAGCCTGGATAGCGCTATCCCACAGATAAATCTTATCCAGTGGATAAATTTATTGGATAACAGCATCGACTTATCCACTGGATAAGGATTCTTCTGCCGGATAGCGCTATCCAGGCTTCATACAACCAGGCACAGGGCTATAAATGATGAACAATTGCGGCCAGAACTTGTCCGGTTAAATCTTTGCCTTTCCTTTGCTAACGATTCCTGAATCTTGCTCAAACCTTGACAGATATTTTAACAACGTTTTTCATGAATAACACCCTACAGGTGCTTGGATGGTTGGAGGAGAAACTACCAGAAGAGAAATCCCACCCACCATCTGTTGTGACGATAGTACAACCATTGTATGCCTGTCTGGAGGACCGTAATGGTGATGTAAGGAAGAAGGCACAAGCTGTTGTACCCTGTGTCATGGCACACCTTGGATATGATGCAATGATTAAACAAGCCAATAAACTGAAGGTATGGTGGCTGTCTAGGGTAGGGTGGGGTCTAGGGTAGGGTGGGGTAGTGTAATGAATAAACAAGCCATGGTTTGGGGGCTGTCTAGGGTAGGGTGAGGCAGGGTACATTGACCTCCTGGGGTGGGGTTGGGAAGGGACACTTACTGTCTAGGGTGGGGTGGGGAAGGGACACTGACTGTCTAGGGTGGGGTGGGAAGGGACACTAACTGTCTAGGGTGGGGTGGGGAAGGGACACTTACTGTCTAGGGTGAGGTGGGGTGGGAAGGGACATTGACTGTCTAGGGTGGAGTTGGGAAGGGACATTTACTGGCTAGGGTAGGTTTGTATATCATATATTATATATAGCATATATTTCTTCTTTTTAGCCTGTATCTAAGCCAACTGTCCAAGGCATTTTAGAAAAACTGCGTGGAACTGTACCAGAGCCAACTAAGAGCACTGGCAAATCTAAGAAGGCTGCAGAGAGTAAATCATCATCAGATAATGGAAGTTCTTCTCAGTCTGCCACCAGCGCTGCTGCATCTAGTGGTGGATCAAAAAGACCCAAGTCAGCTGTACAGAGCAAACCTGCAAAAACAGTATGTATTTTTTAGTATATATTTTTAATTTTTTAAATAATGATATCCTTTATTGGGTAATTACAAGTATATGAGCTACAGTATTGCAAACTGCATAATTATAATTATGATAACAGTTGTCATCAAAAACAGTATCTATACACTACTAACTTACTGTTACATATCACCAGAATACAATTTTAGCTGGCCAAAAATTGGTTTGATAGGATATGACCCCCCTCCCATCCCCCAGGAAAAAATGAAGAAAAACTGTGATTTTACCAGGGGGTATAATAATGACGGGGTTCTTATATAGTGCATTTTACATGGTCTCAATCGCTTCACAATCATGACCAGTGGAGGACTTTACGGGCTGCGTATTTAGGCGCTAGTAGCAGCCGTATAGCTTACAATCATGAGTGATTTGTTAGTATGTTAGTATTAATGCCTCCAGATTGGGATAGGCAGTTGAACCTGGAGTCAATCCCCTACTCTTATACGAATGATTCAACAGGTTCTTTTATGTCCCCCATTTACTTTTGGTTAGGAAGGGTTGGGAGACAGGGCCCAGTTTTAAGTCCTTGTCCGAGAAGGCTTGAAGGTCTAACCATTTGCAGATGTAATTACAAAGGCAGCACCTTCTCCTCAGTTATTTTAAGACCCTGAGTGTTGGTCCGGCCGAGCTTGAACCACGGCCTCCCGCACAACAGACAGACGCTCTTGCCAACTGAGCTAACCGGGTGGCGGTATAAGCCAGTTTAAGAATCATTTTCAGTGCGCATGTGATTTTATCCCGAATTTCTCACCTTCTTGTTTAATTGTGAACAAAAGAAGGTTCAAGCAAAAGAAGGTGAGAAATTCGGAATAAAATCGCATGAACACTGAAAAAGATTCTTAAACTATGAACTGGCTTATTGACAGGGTTTTTGTATTCAATGCATATTAAATAACTGTGCGTTATTTATTTGTTCGTTTGTTTTTTCAGAGCAAAAAGAAAGCTCAAGCAGCAGCAGATGCAGAAGAACTGGGACCTCCATTAATACGTAACCTGGGGAAGGACAATAGAATAAGAGATGAGAAGGAACTCAAGGTATGTAGTATATAATACTGTCTTCCTAGTAAGAAACAAGTGCTTACAAATAGAATAAGAGATG